ATTCCAGCTCAGACAAGGCAACAGCTTTGCCCAATGCCACCCCTCAGACTGTGCCAACGGCTCAGACAGAACCCTCCTCCATTCCTCGTACCTGATCAGAGTTGTCCCCATCTGGTGACGTTTTTTTTTTCTTCCGAGGGAAGACAATCTTCTCCTCCTGCAGCGTGATTGTGTTCCCCAGCTTTATAGCTAGCGTGTCTTTCCTCTTCACTTTGTTAGCCAGCGTGCCTGTGGGGAGGAAGAGCAACGGGATGCGACTGAAGACTGCAGTGCCCGAGCACAGCGACGTGAGCCACGTGCCCCTGGCAGTTGTGTTCTCCCCTGGGGCTTGCTTTCCAAGCTCAGCGCTACAGCTCCCGAGCTAGCCGGAGCTGGTCACTACAGCAACAGCCAGCATTTCTGCATGATGCCCACATGCTCACCTAATGCTATCCCACCTGAAGGGCTGGGACAGCACAAGCTATTGGAGGAGCCATCTGCAGCTGGAGAGGGTGCATCTCAGCAGATGAGCATACAGGTTTGGCTGTAGAGCCTTTGAAAAAGCGAGGAAGAGGACATGTGGTGCATCATGAAACCAAGAACCAGCTGCTTTGAAGCGCTGTGTGAACTAGCGCTTTGATCCAGATATCAATTCAGCTAGACATGAGTTCAGCAGAGGAAAAAAAAAGCCAGCTGCAATGTCAAAGCCTTACTGTTATGGCTTTCATCTTCTTCCTCATCCTCGTCATCTTTGTAGAGGATGGGCCCCTCCGAGTCAGAGTCGCTCATCCCTTCCTCTCCTTCCTGCTCCTCTGGCAGGACCTGGGGTACCAGTTTCGGGATGACAGTGACAGATGGCACATCTCCAATATACACACGAGGGCCCGCGTTCTGCTCCTCTTCCTGCTCATCTTCTTCCTCTTCCTCATCGTCTGGACTAACGAGAAGCACACTATTACATCTCTTAACATATGCCACAGGGGCTGGGGAATAGCCCCGAGATCCCCACCTTGTCAGCCCTCCTCAGCCCGTGGGAGGCAGGTCTGTGGGCAGCCCAGGAACCAGAGATGCAGGAGCAGCCCCACGATCCTGCACCGTCCCCTCTCTCCAAAGCACAGAGAGCTCTGGCAGAGGAAACGCCATGGGCAGGCTCTCTGCAGAGCCAAACAGCCCTCTCACCCCCCTACTTTGGGACCGCAGGTTCAACTCTGTCATAATACACGACAGTCCTTTTCCCACTTCTGTTTTGCAAAATGAAAGGCTCAGGCAGGCCACAAATGGATGAAATCCAGGACCTTGTTTTGTCTCAGTGCAATTAAAGCCAGGCCTGAATTCCTGGCATCAGCCTGCGTTTGCAGTCTGGAACCCATTTCCCTTTGTGAGCAATAAAATCCCAGACCCAGGGTTAATTTCATGGGGAAGATGCACCGACCCCCTAAGAGACTGAAACACAGATACAGCCAACAGGCAAAATGGTTTCTAGCTTTGCTGAAAAAAAAAACCAGCAAAGAAACCAGCCCTGCCCACAGCCCTCCTCACCATCGCAGCCTCACAGAAACACAAGTACGACACCGACATCAGCTCAGCGTGACCCACTCCACTACTAGGTGCTTACTGCGCGTATGTACAGGGGGTACTCACACTTTCAGCATCTCGATGGTGACAGGCAGGGACCTCGTCCTGCCCAGGGTGCCACTGTCTTCTCCAAAGCCATCATTCTCGAAGAGCAGCGAGTGAGCCCGGTGCGAGCCCTCGGCAGGCGGGGTGACAGGCAGAGGACTGGCCAGGGCCTGCTGGATGCGGATGTGCAGCGGGACTTGGGGCAGGCGAGGCAGCATGTGAGGGTCGCCAAACCCTTGCTCTGTCGTCCTCTTCAACCCTTCCAAAGACCTGAAGTCTTCGGGAGGAGGAGGAGTCTCTTTAGGTAGGTCCAGGGAGCGCGGAGGGTCCAAGACCGGGGTGGAGGCAGGGAAGGGCATGCGCGGAGGTTCAGGGGGTACGTGCGTGGGCAGCGGCGGCGAAGGCGAGGGCGGTGGGTAAGCAGAGGTCATGTGCGTCGGTATCAGCGTGGGGCGGTTAGCAGTCACTGTCCTGTCGTTCGGGGGCTTGGAAGCGATCGCTGCCTCCGATGTGTTGTTAGGCAGGACGCCTCTCTTCGGTGGGAGAGGAGGGGATGGCTTGGACAAGCCTGTACCACTGTTCATTGCTTGAGAAAGTTCAGCTGAAAATAAAAAACCACAAAAGCCACTATACATAACAGGGCATTTTCTTGATATCCTTCACCAGTGTGGAATAAGCATGGCAAAGCACTCGAAGCCTTGGACCAAGCGATCTCTGCTAGAACACGGTGTCAGAAATCAGCAGGCTGCAAGCCTCTAGTTCGTCCTTCCTGCAAAGGTTCGACTTGGGAGAGCAGCCAGAAACAAGCCGGCTGGGAGAGGTCTGCGCATCCTGCTGCTCTGGGCAGACACAGCACCAGCCCTGGAGTGTCAGCAGGTGGGGCTCACCCAGACCCACAGCCTGCCCCAGCCAAGGAATGCAGGTATGTCGGGCACTTCATGGCTGTATTTACAGCATCGGTTTTGCAAAGGAATCTGAGACATCCAGGACACCCCAGACTCCAGATGTGTTAATGGCTCCCTTGCACATTAAAAAACTTTTTGGGAAGCCTCACTCCACGGCAAAGGGCAGCAGCACTGCAAGCAGCAGCGCGCTCTCCCCGCTTCCGCTCACCTGCCAGGCCCAGCCCAAGAGCCCCTCGCTGCCAGCAGCCCCTGCCTGTTTCAGGATGAGGTTCTGCTCTGCTCCCTCTGCTCTCGTTCCTTAAACCCCGCATAAACTTCTCTGCAAGTACAAAATAACTAGCAAAACTTCAAAAAATACCTAAGAGCCTTGAGTCTACGTAGAGTTTATCTGCTGTGTGATGGATGGAGAAGAGAGGGAGAAACGGAGACCCTGTTGTTTCACAGAAAATGCCTTCAGCAGGCAATCTCAGGTTTCTCCAACACCCCTTGGCTCCCGGGGAAGATGATGCACCAGTGAAGACTGCTCTTGCTTTCGGAGTTTGTAGCCTTTAACATGCATGTATCAACAGCTTCTCGGGCTGGGAAAGGTTTTGCCCGCCTGCTTGAAGAGGATCAGATTCACTGCCCGTTTCACCGGGAGCAGGCGGCGGTGACGCAGCAGCAGCCCCAGCTCGGGGCTGGGAGGAAGCCGCAGTACCAGACACCGCGAGAGGGTGCTGCAAGCGGGGACCATTTCACCGAGATAAGGCTGCATAACTGGAGAGAGGTGGGCACATTTTTGGGATGTTTAGCATTGTCAGACCTTCCCCTTGTAGATTAAGGGCCAGATTATGAAAAACACCGAGTGCCCTCAGCTCCCATCAACTTCAGCCGAGAGCGATTTCAGTGTCTCCTCAGCAGAGCTGGAAGCCTGGCAGGACCAGGCTTCAGCCACTTTTGGGCAATCACAGACAGATTTTGAAAGGGACCAAGCAGCTGGCAGAAGGGAAAGGAGACAGAAAGGAGCTGGGTGCCGCTCTCGAGCCAGCCCATCTCCCTTCAGCGTGATAAACCCAGTGCAACGACCAGCAGGCACCTCTTGTGTCGTGCCACCACGGCCAGGCCCGGTGCTCTGGCACAGGCTGCAGTAACTGTGGCTCCTGAAACCAGCCAGCAGCACCAAGCCCCAGGGCTGCCGCCGAGCTCCCGGCCAGCGGCACAGCACCTTGTGCCCTGCTTCCTTTTTCAAGCTGATGCCGATTAAATTCCCACTCCCCAAAAGCAAGTGTTTTCTGAGCCTTATTTTCAGCTACTGCGTCAGACACGCCAAAACTGCCCAGGGAATGAATATAATGGAACATCTTCAGGAGGGAACAAAGGGGCCATCTGCACATTAACAGTCCTCCCCTGCCTTAGGTTATAACAGCAGCACAAAGGCCCACACCTGCCCAAGTCAGAGCACGCATCAAAGACCTGTGGAGAGCTCGTGAAGCCAATTCCACTGCTGCTGTTTATCCACAGCAACAAGGCTCGCACAGCAAGGACTGCGTGCATGCCGCAGTTCCAGCTCCGTCGTGCCGGATGCGAAGCCTCCCTCTGCGTCTGCGTTCTCACCCAGGAGACACAAGAGGGGCTGGCTGCCCTCCTCTCCTCCCTCCACACCCCTGCCGCTGCAGGTGCACCCGGCCCGGCCCCGTATTGCTGGGGAGAGGCGGGGGGGGGCGAACATATCTGTCTCCAGCCACATTTTTTGTCCCACAAGTACCTCCCGCAACTAGCGCTGGGGCATTTCAAATACCATCTGCGATGTGTGCAAGCAGCTTAAAGAAAACAAGAAAGTATTTCATCAAGTGCTCAGGCATGGTCGGACTAATCAAGCTGGTCTGGCATACGGGAGTGTTTAACACCATATCAAGGTCACTTGCAAAACCTGCCAGAGCAAGGAGAAGCCCCAAGCAGAACCGAGTGGTGCAGTTCATACCAAAAGCAGGGGCCCATGCTCCTTCAGATGGTAACTTGCTCACGATCTAAGCTTCTACCACTGCCTCCCACACCACACCTGGGGAACGCCTCCAGTTTCTGTGGTAACAGTGCAGACCTGTCTGGTTGATCAGCCCAGGAACCTCCCTCCTGAGCCGTACTAACCTCTGCTAATCCAGTCCAAAGATTAGCAGGTGGTCTGTGAAATATGAACAGGCCATCAACCGGGTGGGAGTTGTCTCCTTTATTCTAGCACTGATGCATCTTTAAGATCTCTAAAATACCTGAAGATAATCATTGACTGGTTTGGGTTGGGGGGACCTTTAGAGGCCATCCAGCCCAACCCCCCTGCAGGGACCAGGCACATCTTCAGCTGGATCAGGTTGCTCAGAGCCCCGTCCAATCTGACCCTGAATGTTTCCAGGGATGGGGCATCTCCCACCTCTCCAGGCAACCTGTGCCAGAGAGCAGGGACTCCTTCAGCTTTAAGAAACTCTCCGCAGATCTTCTGCTTAGGAAAGTTAGAGATAAAGACGTTAAATTCTTTAAATGGGAAGATTCAGCTCAAATTACAGTTGAGCTGATTCATCCATGGGACAAGACTTCTGGACAAGAATAATACAGCAATACCCTGGCCACAGAGCTTGGAGAAGGTGCCCGAGTATAACCAGAGAAGTCTGAATTATCCCTGCCAGCTCCTGGCCTCTCTGCACCAAGTGGAAACCACGTGGCCCAACAGCAACAGCCATAGCAGACATTGTTTGGTGTGATGTGGATTTTTTGGTTAATCTTTTTGCAAAGACCAGCTGAAAGTATCAGTCCTCACTGACCATAGTCTCACACAGCAAAAATCTCATACACCATCCACCAATCCTGCCTGTCCGCGGCTGAACCCCAGCGCTCAGTGAAGCGTCAACACCCAAAGACACCGTCTTATGGTTGACAGAGAAATGCCTTCCCCTCTTCCTTGCACCACTCCCGCTCCTGCCAAAAGCAGGCAGGGATTCCCTCCTGCAGGTAGCGGTTGGAAACACGCACGCCTGACAGATTGGATGGCTCACGGCGGAAGTCTCCAGTAATCACGCTGTTCTCCGCACACATATGCCCTGGCTAAACACTGGCAGATCTTCTGAGTCCAAACTGGACTGCATCCAGGAAAGACAGTCAGACATCAGTGATACAACATTTGCTGCATCGTACTAAAAACTTCCCTTATGAGGGGAAGGGACCCTCAGAGCAAGGGCTCCTGAACATCGCAGGGTACAAAAACCAGCTAAGGGAGGCACTTACCTATTACTGAGTTGCTATTTCTGTTGACAGGTTTGGGAGGAGGGACGGGAGGCTGTTTGGCAGGAGCTGTGCTGGTTGTACTCGTAGGAGCAGTAGTGTTGGCACCGACAAGAGCAGGGGGCAGAGTCCTGGGGGCTGGGGAAGGGGCAGTGGTGGGATTGAGTGTCTTTGCCGCAACAGGGGCTGTGGTGGAGGGCACAGTTTTTGCAGTGCTGCTGGCAGGCGTTGGATCCTTCACCTGCGCTTCGTTTGCCTCCTGGGAAGTGGAGGGAGGTCTTTTTGGAGGAAGCAGAGGCTGCCTGGGAACATACGGCTCCTGAGGTGGTTCCAGTTCGTGCCCAGGGTGGCTGCTGGAGGAGCCTGCAAAGTGAGACAGCTCGGTTTAAGAGACTGGAGGGCCCGCAGAGGGGTGGGAAGAATCAGGTGAGAATTGAAAACTGGCCCTGGGAGAATCTGAAGCAACCGATTTTGTACACATCTGGTTTCTTACCCTGCCTTTTCTTGGGTTCCTCAGCTGGAACCGGCTTCCTAAGGCTGGACGGCTTTGTGGCCTCGTCTTCCTGGCTGGCCAGGTTACAAACACCAGGCCCACCGACTGGGACTGTGTGGCCATTCTTCAGTGCCGGTGGGTTCAGCTTCTCTGGTTCTTCGCCATCTGCAAGGGGTCAGGAGGGGAGAGAAACAAACAGAAAACACTCAGAAAGCAGGAGACGGAGGAGACAGGGCTGAACTGACTGAACCACCACCGATCTGCACCAACAACTCTCTGGCTTCTGAAACAGCCGGTCTTCACTCTACCTTCTGCAGAGGAGCACACAGCAACACCAACTTGCTGAAGCTGAGAGCCCTTGATTTCGTTATCAGCAACGAAAGATAATTCATTTATTAATTCAGCCAACAAAACTGTACAGCACTGTAGCCCATCAAGCACTTTTCTTCTTCAGCAGCCTCTTCATCTACCACCTGGTTTAGAAAGAACACTACTGCATTTAAGACTGGTATGCCCAACACTGTGCCACAGTGCAAGGAAGCTGCAGTCACAGTTAGAAACCTCCAGCAGCTTCGGTATCTGCCCACCACTACAGAGTATTCACAAATTCTCTGCCGCAATACAAAATCCAACACTAGCCAAGCAATCTACTGGACATGCAACGATAGATTTCGATAAAGTCTTAAAAATCAATGAAGCACCTCTATTTTCCTTCTGGTTCTACCCTGAATTTGGCACAAAAGTCACTGCTCTACCCAAAACACCCCACAACAAGGCATATTTCCTCCCTTTTTTACCTCTGTTTTAAGCAGGTGCGATGATGCACCTCCAGAATCTGATATAGTTCATCTTGACTACTTCTGCCTTTACAGATTCTAGCTTGGAGTTTCCCAAATGTTACAAGCAAGACCTCTTTGGGCGTAAAACCCATCCTCCTCCCAGCCCATGCTTTTGAGAGCACTTGGAGCCCTAGTCACGATGAGGAAATATTCAGCCATTCTCTGCCTCTGTGATTGCCCTGACAGGACAAACTCTTCATAATATTATTCCCCAAATCAGACTTGGCATCCACTCTAACAGGGCACTGCCCATTTTAATTGCTTTCTTACTCAAGAAAACTTGAATAGATACCTCACTAATTGGATTAAAAATCCTTAGCATTTTTAGCCTACCACCTCTCCAGCAACCGCAGCATATGGCATCAGAAGCCCCCAGGTGTCAGACCCCAGCATGCTCTGTTGCTCTGATTTTTGATGATTCATTCCACTGCCCTCTTCCCTTCTCCTCTCGCCCCCAAGGTATTACCTCCCCTGCCCTAACCTGATCTTATTCAGAAGCTGGAAGCAAAGATGCCAAGAAGCCAAAAGCTCCCCCCAGGCTCTCTTTTCTGAAAAAAACAGCCTTGGTTCCTAAGAGGAGATGGAAGGCAGCTCTGCCTCGCTGGCGTAGCTGCCCTTCCCCGAAACGCAGGAAGTACAGACAGCAACAAGAGGAAGTCCCCTCCCCAGCCAGGGCTAAAACTCCAGAGATGAGCTGGAGCTTTTTATAGCAGCAATTGCCTCTGGCTAGCTGAAGTTTTCAGCAAGGGAGAGAAACAGTACAATCTCGCCCTCCTTACCATTCAAACCTCGCGTGCCCTTCCCTGGTACAGAGCTGCAGCACGCACAGAATGCTCCTGATGTCCTCCTCGCACCATCTCACTCTCAACTTCAGTTCCAGTGCCCTCCTTCAAGGTCGAGACAGTCCAACGCTATCTTCTTTCCTTACTGCGAGTCCAGCACAACCTGCTGACCACCAGCCCAGAGAGCAGCAGGGCCTCCCCTCCCAGCTGCACTGGGTTTGAACGCCTCCACCGTACCTCTCCCCTACCTCCTCGCTCACTTGTCTCAAAGGGTTTCCAGCATTTTTTTCCCCCCTAAGAACTTGCCTAAGAAAATTAACTGACCTTGTAAGAGCAGATTTTGAAACTGCAAGCAAATACAATAACCTCCCACCACCGTCTTATGACTGCCCAAGTGTCTTAAACACCTAGAAGCGATTAAGATAACGCGCCTGCTAATCTAACCCTCCTGACAATCCTGACGGCTCCCTCATACCTTGGGCTTGCACTTTGTCCAGATTATAGCCATCTTCTGTTTCTTATGCCATATCAGATGACTCAAAGCAGAAAATAATTCCATCTCTCAGCCACGCTTCTGTTACACCCTTACAGCTCGGAAGATCTCTCCTCTGCCATCTCTAGCTGGAAGTTTGTTACCCAACGCCTTTGATCTCTCTGCCACAGTTTCATCCTGTGACCTCATACGCTTTTGTACCCCAGTGAACTCTTCCTCCAGCCCAGCATTTACACCCTCAAGTAGTTATAGGTGGCTTTCATTACAGTGTAGCTGCAAACAACTGTGTTAAGACTTTTCCTCTCAGTTCTGCTTTCAGTGGTTTGGTCTGCAAACCACTCTTTCACCTCCACTTCTCCACTTTGCATTTTTCTTAGAACAACACTGAAATTTGCATTAGGTTAAAGCTGCCTCTCCGGTACACCTTCTGAGGTGCAATCACACACCGCTCTAAGCCAGAGACCACGCTGCCACCCAGACGGGTGGGCTGCTCTCCCACCATGCGTTCCTGCCCCCTTTCTTCAGCCCACAGCACCCAACACACGGGCAGGCGACTAGATGGTGAACTGACCTGCCCGAGAAGCTATTTTTGGAGGATGGCCCCAATTCAGAGACATCAGCGGTGACAGAAAAGGGGTAAGACTTCTGTGACAGCAGGGCAAGCTTTGATAAGCTTAGCCATGACTAACTATGACACCACACCACGAAGCATCTCGTGTATAATGCTTTGAGGAAATGTCCCTATCCAGGCAGCTCAAAAGTCATCAACTGGTTTCTTTGTCCAAGCCTAAGGCCTTTGAACCTGAGCTCCGAGGTCAGCGGCTCTCCCGCGGCAGCTAGAGTCCAGCCCGGAGCGTGATCACAAGCCGGAGGTGGTGAGCACAAGTGTGACGGAGGAGCTTAGCAGGACAAGGCAAGGCGGCTGGAGCAGGACACGTACAAGAGGGACAGGACAGGAAGTGACACACAGAACACCCCTTCCCTCCCCGCTGGCAGCAGACAGGAGGATGTCCCAGACCGGCATTGCGCTTTCTTAGCAACATCCTCCTAACTGAACAGGCTGCCTTCCTTGCCAGGTGCAAGAGTCAGACGACAGAGCACACTGAAGAGGGCAAGACAGACAAGAACCACATTAGCGAGGAGCCCTTACATTTGTCTCCCAAAAAAGTATGGCTGCAAGGGTGAGGTTTTGCCAGGGGAAGATCAGCTGCACAGAACACAGAAGGGAGGAGAAGTTCATTTGCAGACTCACCCTGCTCAGGGTCTTCCAACAGAACCCCTCTTTTAACCAGCTCCTCTCTTGGCTTTCGCATAGAAATCTTTCGTTCTAAAACTGGTATTAAATTGAAAAAAAAAAAAAAAAAAAAGCACTCAGAAAATAGGGTAAGCTAGAAGTTCAAGGAGACACTTTTTTAAAGATATCCTCTGGAGGAAATAAAAGGGCTTCAAATTTCACTGGTTTCGCATGGATTAAGAGGAGGGACTGCACATCCAGGCCTGTGTTTCACACGAGACTGGTGATCGTGGAGCAAACCCTCCCTCCCCACAGCTGCTTGGGGAGGTTCCTTGCAAGAAAGGAATTTGTTTGTCTGAAACTACTGCTCCATGGCAAGGTGTTTCTGGAGAGACTGCAGGTGCCAGCCCATCACCACAGTCACGTTTTGGTCCTTACGCGTGTCAGCGCCCAGGCTTGTGACAGCAAGCCCTTCTCACTAGCCAGACGGCTAATGGCAGGTTTCCCAAGCGGAGGAAGGGACTCCCGCCCAGCCCCGATTACCTTCTGAAGTCTCCTTAAATTTGTCACTGCTTTTCTTTTTCCTCCACTTCCAGGGTTTGAAGATCTTGCCAAAGCTTGAGAACTTGCTTTTCCTCTTTGTAGGAGGTGTGGTGTCACCCGATTCCAAAACATCTACCCCCATGCCGGCGTCAGTTGGGGGGTGATCCACCTCTTCGGCTGCACGGGAAAGAATAAAGAAGTCACCTTCGTGCTGCAGACAACAGCTGCCATCTCCCACCAGCCTGCCCCTTGCACACGGGAAACAGTGGCGCACGTTCATGCAAAGAAGGTAGCAAGACTCCATGCCTTCACGTAACCCATCAGCATTTCGCGTTAGCTTTGGGAGACACGAGTGGGGTTTCCAATGTTAACAGCGCAGAGGGTAACCGAGAAGAGGCTTTCGAATGAAACAAGGATTAGTTTAAGGTTTGCAGCGTCACAGCTTCGCCCAAGGAACAGAAATCACTTTGCTGCAGTTTCTCATCTTCAGCTGGAAGCAACTGGTGCTAGACACAAGTAATTACATGAGCACAAATACCTTCCAGACTGCAGAGCCGACTTTCACGGCTGTCGACACACACTGAAATTGCCAGGCCCATTACAACAGCTGCATGTGCTACAACTCAGCCGCTCTGATGCCTCCCTCTATAAATATTGCCAGCAAAGCTGGCCAAGAGCAACAACTACACAGGAAAGCAACACAATGCAGGCCTGCGCTCCACCTACTGTACTCGAAGTCTCTGGAGAACACCACAAGGAGGACACGGAGGTGGGAAGGGACACGCAAAAAAACCCCAGCTTGCTGCAACAAAAAAGCTCATAAAGAAACAATTTGCGAAGCAGAACCAGAGCACGAAACGCTAAGCTGGAGACTGACTGTGCTGGCTTGCCTGGCGTTGCTGTTTTCTGAGTATTTGATGAAACATAAGGGAACACTTAGAATCAGCAGAATCTAGCAATGCCTGCAAAAAAATAAAAATCAGAGCGCACGCAACCTAAGTGAAGCCAGCTGGTGGCCTGCTTCATGGTCTTCATTTACAGACCGAGGACCCCTTGGCTTCAGCACTGCGAAAGACAAGAGCACCCAAGCTGCGTCGCAGAGCTCTGAAAGCACGCAGTACGGAGAAGAGAGCCTCGCGACCCCCCCCAGGCCGACGACGCAGTCCTGCCAAACGCCGCATACGACGGGCTGAGGTGCCGTGTCACAAACTGCACTCGCGCCTCTTGCTTTTTGAGCCTCTAAGTCAAACGTTCTGGACTTTGCAAGCCTCCTGGGATCACAAAAGACCTTTCAGTCAACTTCAGACAAGCCTGCATGACGTGCCTGCAGAAAAGACAATACCCCACAGGTCACGCAGAAAGTTCAGCCAAGAATCCCATCTCCTGAGGCTAAGAGATTGGGAAAGGAATTTTAGGGGAAAGCTATTTTGCACATAGGACAAAGAGCTAATAACGTATCTGTTATATCCTACAAATATCCACCAAGGATACAGAGCCAGATGTGACAAGGCTGATTCCTGTCAACACGGGGGAGAGCAGATTCAGGACAGCTGAAAAAAAAAACCAAACAGGAAAAACCCGAGTTGTTTGGTGGAGCTCTACCTGCAACCCTGCAGTGCTTCCTAGCACGAGGTTTCAGAGCCCGGGAAGCACCAAGCCCGGGGAGCCCCAGCCACGGGCTCCCAAGCAGCCTCAGGCCGGCTGGGCTGGGGACAGGCTGTCACTGTGCGATGCTGCAGGACAGACGGACCCCGGTTTTTCAGTCTGAGCACAAATGAAATGGGAGATCACTGAGTGGCAGGGAAGAGCAGAGTGACAGAGGCCATACCAGCAACACAGGGAAACCAGACAGTATTTCAGTAGGAGGATCTAGATCACCTGCAAGAAGTGCAGTCTTCAACCAAATGATGGAGGAAGAGGAAAGCCAGCCCAGGACTCTGGGTTGCTAAGAGGCTGGAGTGGCAAGAAAATGCCACTGTGCTAACCAGTAGGACAAAAGAAAGAAGGCTTTTCAAACCTAAATGTGGCCATTTGAGACTTCACCTAAAATGCATGACCCTTCCAGCTCCGTACAGGTTGCTTTGCTCTCACTTGCAGGACTCCAGACTTCACACAGTGATGGCTGATGAGGTTTTTCTGTTTGATTGTTGGTTGTGGGGTTTTTCTGGTGGGTGTGTGTTTTGTTTTTTTAAATCAGCCCCCTAACACAAAGCTCACTCAGAACCAGTGAAAAGCTGATGCCAGCCAACATTTATTTGAAAAAGCAAAATCAATCCAGCATCTGAGCCACTTCTTCAAAAAAAACTCTGGCTTCACAACAGGAGAGAAACTGGGTGGAAAGCAATGTACAAGATGTCAGCACCGATCTGTGATTTTCTGCGGCTGTGTTCTGTGATTTTCTGCTGGGAGCGAGGGTGGGAGGAAGTGGGGACAACAAAAAAAGGCATTTCAAGCTCCCAGAAACCCAAGATGAATTGTCTGGACATTTAGAGGCACTTTCTTCAGAGATTAGAACATTAGCCCTGGAGTTGTACATGTAATTTTAAAAAGCAGTATTCACTTTGTTCAACAGAGCGTTCCCAAAGTTTACCAGGCAGGCAAGCCTGCTTGCCAGGCACAAGCTGCAGACTGAATCTGGATCCCAAGTGCCACGCAACGGCATTTCCCTCACCTTTCCAAGCAGCAGTAACAGCGCCGAAGGCAGTCGTACCAAGCTCACTTCACATATCACAGAATCACAGAACGGTGGGGGTTGGCAGGGCCCTCTGTGGGTCCCCCAGCCCAACCCCCTGCCCAAGCAGGGTCACCCAGAGCAGGCTGCACA